TTACTCATTACTCAGCAACGATCAATTTTTATCTGAAATGTCCACATGCAGTCAGAGGACTATCTAAACATACAATAAGCAAAACAAAATTCCTATCACGAATATTTTCTATGTAATAAAATTGGCTTCCAAACGATAGAAGACAAATTCTGTTCCTTTTTTGATATGTGTACCCCAAACTGATTCAAATTGTGACTGCTAATAAGAGTTTAAAAGCAAGAGCAAACACCGCCTTTGTTTTAAGCTAAGTACAGACCACACCCAGATGTGAAGCTCAATTAAGTCACAAAATCTAAATGGCCATTGGAATCCTACTAGCAAGTAAAGCTAACGAGGAACTTGTTGGACTTTTTTCTTTGGTTAACCTTCCACTAGCACTATCCAGAAAGTTTCCAGTAACAGAGTGAAAATGAGGTGCATTTGCAGCAAAGCTGCAAAATATCCTAAGAAACCTTCCATTTGAAGAAGGGTTCTCAATGACTTCGGGTTGAAGCCAACTCATAGTGACCCAATAGGACAAGGTAGAAGTGCCCCTATGAGGTTCCCAGACTAACTCTTTATGGGAGTCCCCTTATCTCTCTTCCCAGGAGTGGCTGGTGGTTTCAAACTGCAGACCTTGCAAGTCAAATCACTATGCCAACAAGGGCTGGAGAGGTGATATTGGGCTGAGCCTTCTCAAACCAAACCAAACTCACTGCCACTGAATCAATGTCAATTCACAGCAACTCTACAGGGCAGTGTAGAACTGTCCCTGTGGGCTTCTGAGATGGGAGTAAAGAGCCTGTCTTTCTCCTTCTGAGGCTTTTTAAGCAGGTGTGAAAAATTCCATAGTACATATAGTCTTTTTTTAAAAATCACTTTATTAGGGGCTCCTACAACTCCTATCACAATCCATACATACATCAATTGTGTAAAGCACATTTGTACATTCATTACCCTCATCATTCTCAAAACATTTCCTCTTCACTTAAGCCCCTGGCATTAGGTCCTCATTTTTCCCCTCCCTCCCCCCTCCCCCCTCCCTCATGAGCCCTTGATAATTTATAAATTATTATTTTGTCATATCTTGCCCTGTCCGACGTCTCCCTTCACCCACTTTTCTCTTGATTAGATCGAGTTACAAGAGATATTGTGAGATGAGGGAAATTACAGGATGCCACGAGAAGAATTCTTGTTTGCTATAAGGACCTCGTATACCCACAGGATTGCACCTTGCAGAAAACCATGTAGAAAATGTTAAAATGGAGCCAAATGAACTATGCTATTTTATATTAACCAAAAAAATAATTTAAAATCATTAATTGGCTTACTAGCTTTAGGAAAGAAGAGTAAAAATTACTAAACCCGCATTTCTTTTCAGGTTAGCTTCTGGAAGGCACTTACCATTTCTCACTTGACTTACATCTTTAGTTTTTTAACGCTATCCAGCTGCTAACTTTCCAATCTAACCTCCACACTGGCACCCATCACCTGAGAAACAGAGAACCTTCAGTCGTTCGGTTCTCATTTATTAATTGGATAAAGTCCAAATTCCTTTTGCACATCCACCCTTGTCCCTTCTCTAGATACTCTCCCAAATGAGTCATTCATGTACAAGAGTACCCTCCAAGTTTTTCATCTCATTCTCCCCACCCCCACAGCCTGGCACATGCATACAAGGATAGATACTGCACTGTACTCTCCTACTAGCTGAGTGACCTTGAGCAAGCTTATTAATTTCACTGAGACTATTTCTTTATGTACAGAATGTGAGCATTTTTATACCATCGTGAAATAATGAACATGAAAATTATATTGTAAACAGGAAAGCACTATGCAAACATCAACCATTTTATCATAAACCAAATGAGCACAAAGTACTATAGCTGAATACACTTGAATTTGTTCTAAGAGTAAGATTCATCTTTTGTTCTCTGGCTCCTTCTCTGAGGATGACCTGCATTTTATCCCACTTTTCTGACTGTGTTTAGGGTTCCATTGTGAGGGGAAAAACTATGAAGTGATGTTCAGATCATACAAAGGAAAGGTTAAGTGTGACACTCAAGAAGGATAAAGATTTCCTTTTTTCTACCTTTCCTAATGTTTTCACAGGATAAAAGCACAGGCAAATATATGAAACGAATGCAGTACATTGCTTTTGTTGTTGTTAGTGGTTGTTGAATTGACTGATTTTAAGATGTTCTTATATATATTCCTTTATGTGTAAACCCCAAACCCACTGTCACTGAGTCAATGCCAACTCATAGAACCCTATAAAGCAGTGGCTCTCAACCTGTGGGTCTTGACCTCTTTGGTGGTCAAATGGACCCTTTCACAGGGGTTGCCTGATTCATAATAGTAGCAAAATAACAGTTATGAAGTAGCAAAGAATATAATTTTATGGTTGGGGGGTGTATTAGTCTAGGTACTTTAGAGAAACAAATCCACAGAAACTGATGTATGAGAGTTTTATATAAAGGGTAAGTGTACATCAAGAAAACATTCCAACTCAGTGCTGCCCAAGCCCACAAGTTCAACATTAACCCATTAACCCATATGTCCAACACCAGTCCACAAAGTCCTCCTCCATTCACAAAACAGATGCAATGATGATGCCAACTGCAGGAGGAAAGCCGAGTCAGTGAATGTGTAAGCATCTCAGTGCTTGCAAGGGTCTCCCCACGGGTGCTCCAGCACCCAGGGCTGCATCGGGGTAGGTCCATGTGGCTTCTCCTTGGAAATGTCTTGTAGGAAGTCAGTCTTCTAAGCTGAAGTACGGAACTGCTAAGGCAGCTGCACCCTGGTGCGACCATCACAAAGCAAGAGACCTGAGAACTCGAAAGGCGAGGCTCACTGAGTCATTTATCCCTCGGCCCTTCAATTAATCCCACATGTGTTTATTGGCCAAGTTGACACAATAAACTAACTAACTCAATCCACCCCTTGCCAACCTGGCATCTGTACATAATTCTTTAGCTTCACAATTGAAATTAAGTAACACTTACACCTTAATCCTACAATCCTGTGAATATGTTCTCTACCTATGAAAGTTTGTAAGCCAACCACTTCATGCCTTTATGCCCTCAATTGTGAGTATCCAATATAGGGGGTCACCACAACATGAGGAACTGTATTAAAGGGTTACGGTATTAGGAAGGTTGAGAACCATTGCCTTAGAGACTGTTAGATAAGCTTGGGACTGCTAACCTCAAGGTCCAACGTTCAAAACCACCAGCTGCTCTCTGAGAGAAAGATGAGGCTGCCTACTCCTATCAATATTTACATTCTAGGGAATCCTCTATAGCAGTGGTTCTCAACTGTCCTAATGCCGCGCCCCTTTAATATAGTTCTTGATGCTGTGGTGCCCCTTAAGCAAAAAATTATTTTTGTTGCTACTTCATAACTGTAATTTTGCTGTTATGAATCATAATGTAAATGTCTGATACGTAGAATGTATTTTCATTGTTACAAATTGAACATAATTAAAGCATAGTGATTAATCACAAAACAATATGTAATTATATATTGTGAAATATTTATGTGTTTTTCCGTGGCCTTAGGTCGTGACCCCTGTGAAAGGGTCATTTGACCCCCAAAAGGGGTCGCCACCCACAGGCTGAGAACCACTGTTCTAAGGAATCCTGCCCTAAGTGAATTTATAATCAAGAGGAGAGATATTACAGATCCTACATTACCCTTTGTACAATACGGTAACAAATGTCTTCAGGGTCAACAAGTTGTAGCATGAAATCAATTTTCCTGTCATATTTATTTTGTTTAGTGATTTGACGCATTGTCTTTGCTATCTTAGTGACTCATGATTAGCATGATTTTTTTTAACATTATCAGAACCACTGATGCAATTCAATACCTATCTATTGACTATCTATTGCACTGGCCCTATGAGAATACAACGATAGGTGATGGACTCTGCCCATAAGATAAATGTACAGAAAATAAAACAAGCCATAAATACAGATAATTAATACAAGGCCAAATGTTGAATGACAAGTATGGAGAAGCCAGGCTAGTGACAATCAATGAAGATATGTGTTACGGTGTTGGACCCTTTAAAATATTGTTAGCTAATAGCTTCCATTACTAGAAAATATCTGCTATATATTATATTTCCGGCCACTGTATTCTAATTCAATTATAAACCTCATTGTGTTGTTGTCTACCGAACAGGCCAAGTCCGCTATGAATATTTTCTCCTCCCAGCTCCACAAACATCCTGAGGTAGGTACAATCATCCCCATTGTACAGATGAGGAAACGAGGCCAAAATGTTAAGAGGCGAAAAATTTAAATATATAATATATATAAACAAGCAAGATATATGTCTATATACGTAAACTAGATCTAGATATATATAAACAAGCAAGAGACGAAAACGAGAATTCCATAGAGGACGGGCGGCCTCACTCGCCAAAATTCGGCAGCTTGGCGCACTGCTTTCTACTTGCCCTGGGCGTGCGTACCATGTGGGAACAACCTACCACCCCCACCCCGCCCCGCCGGGTACTAATTTTCTCCTCCTGCTGAGTCCATAACTGAACTGTTGATTCCCGAACAGATCGCTCCCACCTTCTCTCCCCAGAGGACACGCTGCTATTTAAGTCAGAGGCAGTTCGGGGGAAAAGAGACCGAATCAGATCCCCAAGTGGACAAAGAAACCTTTCGGGCTGGGGATCCCTTCGTGGACGGCCTCCAGGGGATGGCAGGGGCACCCGGCTCACCCGGAAGACGCTACCAGGGCAGGGCGATGTCCCCTCCTCCCGAGCCCAAGCAGCTTGCGCGTGGCCATCTGTCCGTTTACCCTTCACGTGCCTGCGCTCCCTGGGCGACCCGCATCCAGCTCCCACCCCACGCCAGGCCTCACGCGCCTCCCTCTGCGCCGCGCTCGGGTGCCAAACCCACGCTCGTGCGTCTTGGCACCAACGGGGGCAGCCCGTCCCGCCCCATCCCCGGCCTGCCGCAGGCGGGGGGCCGCCGCCAGCCCTCCCCCGGCCGGCTACTCACGGTTCCAGTACACTGGGTAGCATTCTCCTTGGGTCACGTCCACTTCGTAGAGCCCGCCCCGCACGCACACCGGCTCGATGTTCACCACCTCCTCCATCTCGGGCTCGTGCCGGGCCGCGCGCGGGCAGAAGCCGCAGGCGTGGTCATCGTCGTCGTCCTCGCCGGAGCTGCAGGCTGGGCCCGCGGGGGACGCCGAGCCGCACACATGCTCGCCGTCGGGGTCCTCGGCCTGGGGCCCGGCGCCCGTGGCCTGCAGCAGGGTCCGAAAGGCGAGCTCGATGCGGAGCGAGTCGTAGCCGATGAAGGGCTTCCAGGTCTTCTTGTCCTCCTTGAAGAACCAGCGCACCTCCTCCGGGCCCAGCTCCGTCACCACCTCGTAGCGGTGCCTGGCGGCCGGGCCGCCGGGCCGGG